TTTCCCCCAATTCAGAACAAGAGAAAAGGACCCACCAGGAGAGAGAGAGCACTTCCCTGAATTTCATTCACAGTTTATCATCCAGTTTGTTCACTTCAAAAGCCATCACCTCATCACTGCCAGACTGGTGCTCCCAGCAGTCTGCAGATAGCACCTAAAAGCTCTGCCTCAGGCTGTTTCTGTTATGGAAGCCCTAAATCTCTGAAGTCACATGCCAGCTGCATCAGAACAAGGACAGACCCCACCTGAAGGGGTGCTGCATCATTTTTCCCCAGAGGCAGAGACGAATACGAAGCTGAAGTTTTCCTTCCTCCCAAACCACATCAACACCTTTTATCAACCCCTGCTAAAAAATGAAGATGCAGAACTACAGCAGAAAGATCATCTGACACATCCGCATCCTTACTCCCAAGCCCACCAGCTGCCTGTTTCTCTTTGTCAGAATGGCAAGAGCCAGGAATAAGGTCTATTTCAATCAAAAATAGTAACAATACTGGTGGCAAAGCAATACAAAGTCACAAACACAGATGTTCTTTCATTGCCCCTGTGCAACACAGTTACACACTTCTCTGCGTGCTGCCCATGTCCCTTGCCCATCAGGTGCCCACAGGGAGACAGAGCAGTAAGAGATACGCCTAAAACCAACATGCCTGAAGAAGCGTGGCCCAAGCACAGCAGTCCAGCACGCACCATGGCAGGTGCAACAGAGAGCTGGTACCTGGCCACCAGGCTCCAGCGTATAAATCTCAAAAAGCCACGAGAATTTAACTCGTTACCTGAACATCCCCACCACTGTGTTAGTTCTGTCACGCCGCAGCACTGTGTTTCCTTGTCCCCAAAAGACAGCAGAGCAAGCATGTTAAAGGAAGGGGAAGGCCTGCTGCTCCAGCAAGCACATACTCCTGCAAATGCTACTATCTCAGGAGAGCATTTCTTCCCACTGCGGTCCTGTCACCAGACAGAATGAGGGGACAGTCTCCCTCCAACATAGAAATCAGAAGCCCATTTGCTGCAGCCTGTCAGGTCTGAACCACGGCCCCAAACAGGGTGTTAACAGGGTGATAAATCAATACACCAAAATGGAAGCAGCACGGCCTTACACAAACCGCTCTCTCCCACCCACCTCTTGTGCATGGGACTTCACGTAGATATCCAGCACCGAGCTCCTCCACAAGTGACACTGCTGACGACGTAGCAGGCACGCGACTACTGACGGCTGTATTTCAGAAGCATGTCAGACAAATTCCTCCCAATATTCAAACACATCTGAAGGACATTAGTGAACTCTCCAAAACACTTCTGCTTCCTTACGCCAGAACTTCCACCTGAGGAAAACTGCCCGCATAGATTTTTCCTAGTCTTTTAAGCAATGAGATGCTAGTATTATTTTAATAACACTAATATTTTTAATGCCAAAGTATCCAACATGCAAGTAAACCCCATTCTACACCTCCCCATACATGCACTTGCAGGGACAAGGAAAAAGAATGGAAAAAGCTATGCACCTCCCTGTTAAAATGGGGAAAAGTAAAACGTCATGAAAACCAGCAGTGGGTAAACAAGGGAATGTGATCGCCTCCTCCGCAGGTGTCCACGCTCTTCTCTTCTAGAAGCTCTCCAGCATTGATTCAAGAGTGCTCAGTCTAACTCTCCTTTGGACTTCAGATACCACAGACAACATATGGCCAGAAACAAGCAAGGAGAATCTGATACTCTACTAGGGTTTGTTTGTTTTTTAAAAGATATTTAATACCCAGTCTGACTGATTCAATGATTTACTGTTCAAGGCTAACTTTGAACCTGAAGGTTACCATCACTCAGCAAGCAGCAGCGGCATCCTGAGCAGACATCACCCCGGCAGACCTAGATGAACCAGCAGGCAGGGCTCTCCTCAGGACAGCACTGCTTAAGTGCTGCCTAAGGCCGAGAGGGCAGGAGTATCAAACAAAGGAGCAGCGACACTGCCCCACTCCTCCACGTAGTTGGTTGCAATTCTTGATGGAGAGGGACATCAGTGCTTGGCATTCAATAATAATAACAACTCATGACAGTTTTCCACCTTGAGTATCTGTAACTAAGTGACATGGCAAGAAAAGGAAAACCATACAGTTGTAGAGGAATGAGCATAGGGAATAATTTGCCATATTGCCATACTGCAATTACAAACTCGCTATATTGTACCCTTTGCTAACACTCCCTAAAACACAGTCTTTAACTGCAGAGTGAGGAAAAAAGAATGTCTCTGTTTCTTCCTCCTGCCCAACATCACCAGTAAACAAAATAGCTACTTTTCATTCCCTGTAATTATGCACCTCAGAACCCTTGACTAAGGGAATGAATAGGTCCTTCCTGTGGAGTACGCCCTGCCTTTAGCCATTGCCATTTCTGACTTCTCCAATTCTCTAAAAGGAAAGTCTGGGCTTACAAAGCAAAGGCTATGTACTGAACTGAGGTCTCATTGCCCTGTCAGTTCAACCCCCAGAGCAGTGTGGAGCACCAAAAGTGTAGCCAAAGTTTGCTTTTCACAACCATTAAACTAACCCGCTCCTTTTAGGACGATGAGGATACCACACATGCATTTAACACAGGCAGAAAACCTCATTGTCTGGATTTCTTATGCACACTGTTGAGTAACTCCACCTGAATAATTAAAAAAAAGTCTGACAGCAAAATGCTCAGTTACTTATTTACTGCTAAATCAGCAGAGTGCTCATGCCAAGTTAAATGCCTTCCACTCTAAAGATTCATTTAAAACACATAAAAAACAGCCCACTAGCCTGGGTGATAAGAGCGAAGAGGAAAGCTTAGATTCACTCAGAGAAAGATAAGTATGTTTTCTCTTTCCAAAAGACGTAAACCAGAGTCTCCTTAATTCCCTAGCGCTGTTCCACAAACTTCAGTTCCTCAAATACCATCTCCAAGCATTCACCTCTTTTTCCTCAGCAGTATGAATAAATACAGAAACCCAGGAATGTGGGGAAAGGAGACCTCAAACCAACTGCACACAAAGTTATCTGTGAGGAAGAACCATGCATTAGAAACTACCTGAATTGCAAACCATTCAAATCTGAATAGCAGCCACCCACAGGCTGAATCAAAGATGGCCCGGGGTGGTGCAGAGTCACATGTAGGGAAGTGCATTGAGTCTCAAAGCAAGGGGCACAGGTCCAGCCTAGCAGCTAATGCCAGGTTCTCCTTCCCTCCTCTTCACATCAGCATTGCAGAGCCAGACTCACTTCGCTTACGCCACATTGCATCAGTATTAGCCTGTCTGCTTTGTGTAACAGGGATGAGCGGGTGTTCCGGTGCAAAGGTCAAGAAGTTATTCCCCTGATCCTTTCAAAATTTGTCTCCTCTGAGCACTAGCTTGCTGCAAGAAAAGACCATCACAGCTCGATACAAGAGCGCTTGGGGAGCTTACCTCATCCTAGCCTGATGGAAGGTTTGCTTCTTTTCAAAGCAACTGCTTGTGGAAACTCTGTACCTACTTTTAAGAGGTATGAAAGTGCTAAAGTCCTTTTCCTCCAGAGCTCAGTGACAAGGACTCTTTTCAGTAGACAGCTCATCTCCTTTGTCCCATCTAGTTGTCAGCAGGAGGAGGATATTGCAGCGTCAAGTCCAGATGCACCTGCAGATCCGAGGTTTGCAGGACACGCTCCCTAAAGCGTGTTTCTCAGCACCGCGCATTCCCTCCAGCCCGTCCATGGTTCTACTGACTCATACGCCTGGACTGGAGATTTGCAGACACAGGAGTAGGAGGGCACTGGAGAAGACCTCGAGTCCAAACACCTCTCAAAGCCAGAATCACACCGAACCCGCATGCTGCCCCCAACTTTGTAGGCTTAGGTCCCACTTGCCTCTGCCACCACCTCTGCCCACAGCCCAACCCCAGCTGCGTCCCTTCAGGTACCAGCTGCACTTCCCAGGTGGAATTTTGTTTAAGTGCCTCTTACCCCTGCTGCTGCCCTCCAGGCCCTGTGCATTTCTTCCCCCTCCCTGGTTTGCCCCCTTAGCACTCCCAGTCTCCAGCCAGGCAGGTGACAGCCCACCCCACAAGGCCGGCTAGCCGGGTGGCAGCCGCCCATTACCTGGTTCCCAAAGACAGCGATGGAGCAGGCGGTGGAGACCTCGCGGGAGCTGAACCAGACAGAGGCGATGCGGGAGGGCATGCCCAGGATGAAGACCTGGGCCAGGGAGCAGATGACCTGCCCCAGGACGGTGATGGGGAAGAGGTGCGGCTTCAGGCTGCCCAGCTTCACGCAGGCGCCCAGAGCGTTGAGGGCCGAGCCGGCCAGGGCAATGAAGCGCAGGCCCCTCTTGTCCAGCAGCCAGGCGACGGGGAAGAGCAGGGGGATGTAGGTGAGCATGTAGCTCATGGAGAGCCAGTCGATGGCGAAGGCGCTCACGCCGTAGAAGTGCATGAAGATGTTGTTGATGCTGCCGGACTGGGTCCAACGGGAGGGG